AGCATAGCTCAACTCTAACACACCCTGGGGTTGCTGGGGGCCTGCCGGCAGGGGTTGTAAGTGGGCAGAATCTCTCCTGGGACAAGGGGTTGGGGTGAGGGAGGTGGGTAAGCTGACCGTCAGCAGAGTCCAGATCTTGTCCACCTTCAGAAGGTTCCAGAAGTTGCTCCGAGGCACAGAACAGGGGTTCTCAGGGGGGCCCTGGGTCAGGCTGGGGCGCTGGCTGTCCACCGATGTTTGGGGCCGGCCCTCCCAGAACGCGGCCTCCCCACACAGCACCCGGGGGCTCTCCGCTGGCACCTGAATGCCGTGGGCCGTGGTGACGGTGCACACGTGGGGCAGGGCCCAGCCCGAGGTCCGCAATGCCCGCACCTGGTGGGGGGGCCGGGGCGGCCTGCGGCTGGGGAGCTGGAAGGGAGGGACCTGCGCGGGGGTCAGCGGGCAGCCTGCGCCGGGCATGGCTGGCATCTGCTCTGAGAGCGGGATCTAGTGTCGCAGTGGCCTCGATTTTCAGTCTCCGCCTCTGTCCCCATGCTCTTTGCTCCCAGCAGTCCAGCCCTCCTCCCCGCCCCCTCCCCCGGTCACTGAGTCCTCTCCTCGAAAAGAGACCCCAGAGATCAGGCTGCACACCCCTCACCCCCAGCACAGCCTCATTTCCACACGTCCAGCTGCACAGACCTCCCTGGAAGCCACAGCACACCACCCAGAGGGCGCGGGGGGTCAGCGGCTGGATTCACCCTCAGTGCAGGGGACCAGGGTTCGATTCCTGTTTGGTGCCCCTATCAACTGGCTGGATTGTTAGAATTCTGAACAAGTCCGAGGAGCTTGCACACGAACAGACCCGGAAGAAAGGCCTGCTGGTCACACTGGCCCATCTCCTTCCGCGGAGCACAGGGTCACTGTGGTCGGCTGGGAGGGTCAGTGGGAGAAACACAATGCCTCTTCTCTGGGAACCCCATCCGGTCTTGGGGTTCTGTCTGGTCTCTGTGCTGTCTTGGACCCTGTCTGACCTAGAGAAGCCCCATCTGGTCTAGGGCTCCCCGTGGTCTGTGGTGGGGATGGGGGACCCTGTCTGCTCTCCTGAGTTCCTCCAAAGGTTCCATCTGGTTGAATGGCTTCCTCCTGGTCTTGGGGGGTACTAGGGGTTCCTCCTGGTCTTGGGGCATTCCTTCTCGTCTTGGGGGGGGTTTCTCCTAGTTTTGGGGGAGTTCCTCCTGGTCTTGTAGCATTCCTTCTCGTCTTGGGGGGTTCCTCCTGGTCTTGGGAGCGTTCCTCTTGGTCTTGGGGGGCATTCTGCCTGGTTGTAGGAGTTCTGTCTGGTGTTGGGGCTCTCTGTCTGGTTAACCTGATCACATGCTTTGGGCACGTTGTCAGTCCCTAGAGAAAGACATCATGCTTTGAAGGGTGGAGGACAGCGCGGGAGAGAAGCCCTGGCTGAGCTGGATTGACCCAGCAATGAGCTCGCATGTGTCAGATCTAGTGGATGGCGCAGGACAGGGGAGGGTCAGGGTCAGAGTTCACGGGGTCGCCCCAAACCACCCCCACCTGGCCTTGGGGAGTACGGGCCTGCTTTCAGGGGCTGTCTGGTATCTGAGTAGTGTGCTCTCAGGGGGCTCAGTCTGTTCTTGGAAGATGGGGGTTCCATCTGGCATCAGGAAGCTCTGCCTGGTCTCGGGGAGCACGACCTGGTCTGAGGGAGTACTGAGTGGTCTCAGGGAGTACCAGATGGTCTTGAGGAGCACCATGAGGCGTGGGAAACATCGTACAGTCTCAGGGAGAACTCGGTGGTCTCGGGGTGCCTGCCTGGCATTCCTAAAGCCAAGTCCCTGTAGGGGTGCCCCAGCATTCTGCTCTCGCCATGGGGACCAGGGGCAGGGCTCCATGCTCTTCACCACCTCCTATCCAGCTGCACGGTGGGGGGGGGCCCTCAGAGGCAGGGACACTGATCCTGCGCCACACAGTGGGGGTGGGAGGGGACTGAGTCCAGAACAGGCTGACCCTGTCAGATGCGGGGACTAAAGAGGCCCGAAGCCTAGGGGGCTGGCGCACCCCATAACCTCGCAGCCACCAAAACCCCATGGAGCCACTACTGACTGAGGCACGTGGGTTCCCATTAGTGGATGCCATGTCGGGAGTGGCACCAGGCTGTGCCTCCTGGAGAGACCCCACCCCTGACCTTGCTGTCCTAGAAGGCCAGGCCTGAGATGATTTCGGGTCATGTGACCCAAGTCGGGTGTACCACATGGGCAGTGTGGATATTTTGCAGGCCCTTTTGAAGGACCCCACCCCCACATCTGCTGTGTGTGGGTCCCCAGTCTATCGACATGGAGTAACTGCTCCCCAAGGTGCTATGGTGGGTTAAGCACCACTGCGTGGGCACCCTAAGCCCACTGCCGTGGAGACTGGGGCCCCCAAGGTGGTGAGGTGAAGGGCTGGCTCCCTCCCAGCTGCTGGAGGCACCGGATCTGGACGGGGCCCAGCCAGATGGTGGGGTCAGTGACGGGGAGGGGGCGGGAGGCTTGGGTTGGCCGCGGGGATTGATGACTAATCCTTCTCATCCCACAGGGCTGATACCACCTGGCTCTGCCGTCCACCTGCCCAGATCCCCCGATAAGCCAGCAGCTCGGTCCGCCTGCCCAGATGGCCTGAGCCGGGGCGGGAGGTGTCAGATTCCGTGGTGAGGCCACCCACCCAAGTCTGAGCCCTGTCCCCATTCTGCGGCTGGTGTCCTGCGCGGTCCTGGACACCCCCATCTGTTTCCCCAGTGCTGGGAGGCCCTGCCCAGTCACGTGCCAGCCCCAACTGGCTGCGGCTCAGATTGTTGAGACCCTGAAGGTTCCCAGCGGTGGATTTTCAGAAGTGAATTGTCAGGTCTTTCTGTCTCAGTTCCCACCAGATTAGCTCGCATCCCCGCATTGTTCGCAGAATTCTCTGTCCCCCCAACTGGAGTTAGGGAACTGGGCAGGGGGCCGGGAGAAAAAAGCCTAGATACTTTCCTAAAGCATTCGCCCCCTCACCCCTGCCCCCCAGGACGGGCAATTTGACTCCACCAGCAGCTCCACGGGAGAAAAACGGGCCCCTTCCTCCCATGCAGTTTACAGCCTCTGGAAACCCGCCGGAGGTCAGCTGAGCTGGGTCAGAGCACCTGGCACACGACCGGGGGCTGCTGTCAGGAGCCTAGAGCTGCGAGGCTGGAGGCTGCTGTCAGGAGTCCGCAGGGAAGTGCCTGTGGCTGCGAGGCTGAAAGCTGTGCCGTCAGCATCTCCAGCAGCAGCAGGATCAGCCTCGGTGGACAGTCTTCAGGAGACCTTCCAGACTAAGAGACTAGGAAGAAAGTCCTGGTGATCGAATGACAAAAATCACCCCATTAAAAACCTATGGATGTGGTGCAACCACTGAGGAAGGCGGTATGGCACTTTCTCAAAAAGTTGCAAGTAGAAATACCATTTGACCCAGCAATTTCGCTACTGGGAATATACCCCATAGAGACCATAACTTACGTCCAAGCGGATATATGCACACCCATGTTTATCGCGGCTTTGTTCACAATAGCAAGGAGTTGGAAAGAACCCAGGTGCCCATCAACAAACGAATGGATAGAGAAGCTGTGGTATATTCACACAATGGAATATTATGCTGCATTGAAAAACAAGGAACTCATGAAATATCCAAAATGGGTGACCCTGAAGGACATTATGCTGAGTGAAATATCTCAGTCACAAAAGGACAAATACTGCATGGTGCCACTGTTGTAAAACAGGACTGACCTCGGGGCTGGGG